TGGTTTGTCATCGATTTGTAATTCTTTCTTCAGTTCTATACCTTTCTGTATTTTACCAGATTACGTTTTCAGATGTCTTGGTCTATTCTCGTAGGTGCTGAAGAACTTATCCATGTGAATGCGCAGTAGCTTCTCAGACAGGATCAGACAGGATCAAGGCCTTTTCTTTGATAAGGGAGCCTCTTGTGGTGTTAGGATCAAGGCCTTCTCTTTGATAAGGGAGCCTATTGATGTGTTTCCTGTAACTTGGAGCATTGCATCAATGGGTGTTGGTCCTTCCTGTAACTATGAGTGGGAACATATTGTAGTGCTTCCTGTAACTAGGAGCATGGCAACAACATATTGTGGTGCTTCCTGTAACTAGGAGCATTACATCGGGGTGTTGATTTTACCCCTCCAGTAATTAGTCGTAATTCTTGGTAGTGTGCCTTCTCGAGGGGTTTGAGAGTCACCTCTTTGTGGCCGTCTATCCCTGAACATGGCATTGCATCAATGGGTGTTGATTTAATCCCTCCAGTAATTAGTCGTAATTCTTGGTAGTGTGCCTTCTCGAGGGGTTTGAGAGTCACCTCTCAGCTTGATTGTGTGCCTTCTCGAGGGGTTTGAGAGTCACCTCTGTGGCTTTCTGTGCCTTCTCGAGGGGTTTGGGAGTCACCTCTGTGGCTGTGTGCCTTCTCGAGGGGTTTGAGAGCATCTCTGGCTTGTTTGGCCGTATCCCTCCATTAATTAGTCGTAATGCTTGGTTTTGTGGCCGTCTATTCCTCTAGTAATTAGTCGTAATGCTTGGTTGTGTGCCTTCTCGTATTGATATGAGAGTCACCTCTGTGGCTGTAATGAGTGGCTCACAGCACAAAATTTATTGGCTGAATAAACATCTTGTAAGTGGTCCTAGAGTTGAGCGCTACAGGCCCCATTGGCTACCAGCAAGACGCTTAAGTACATTCAGTCTATTGGAGAGCTCCAACTGACTCTTCAGTACATTCAGTCTATTGGAGACTCGTTCTGCTATTTTATCATTGTGACTTTTCCACGTTAGCTTTCTTTTCAATGGTAGTATTCTTGTACCTTAGAAGCGGGTTCATGCTGTGACAGGCCAAAGAAAAAGTTTGGAATGCAGTTT